ATTTGCTTTGTTCAAATGATCCTTTTGTTGGGGAGGGAAGGTTAGGGTTAGGATTAGGGGTAGGGGCTAGTGTTAGGGTTATGATATGAGATAGGGTGGGGGTTCAGAGTTCAAGTTAGGGTTATCCAAATTGTTCTTAGTTACTCATCTTACTATGTTTTAGTCACTTCACCTTTGCTTTAAAGTATAAGTAATTTGTCTGCTTTATCAAACGGCATAGAAATATTTGTGTCATTATACAAATCAATGTAGAGATACAGTGGGCAAGTTCCATACATTTGTTTCTAGATGAATCGCTCATCCAGGTTCTGAGACACAGGGGATCCTTTTGACTAGTTTAATAATAAGTCATAAGCTGAAGCAACCAATTCTCTTAACTAAAAAAGATGAATTAACTTATGCAGATGCTATGTGAGAACCAGAGAAACAACTGTGGTAGTTAGTAAAAGACTCCTGTTCTGACTCCTTGGCTTTATGGCAGCTGTTAATGATGGAATGACTGGAAATCTAAAGACTATTATCTGTCTCCTAAGAAATGTGAGTAAAATAAATACAAATGAGCAGCTGTGGGAAGTGGAGAGGTAGAATCAGGGGTGAAAGAAATGCAGGTGTTCCAGGCTGTGTCCTGGACACACCACTATACCTTTCTTTTTGCAATTTCACTACTTTAGGAACTCCTGTGGCATAAAAGCGAAATTGAAAAGAGGGAGTAAAATTCAGGATAATTTTGTTATTTTCCAGTGGATCTTAACTGTTCGAAATTTCACAGTTTAACAAATATCATATAAGGATTAACAATGTTCTATTGTTTCTAATCACTGTAGTCGCACGTGAATTTTATCATCAGGAATGTTTGAGAAATGATACATTCCTTCTACCTGCCTCACTCAACACACTTAATGTTTCGTATAGACAATTTTTGCTTTTTTAAATTTGTCTGTTATAGTTTTGCTTATTTGTTTAATATGTTTGCTGGGAATTGAAACCAGAGCCTCACACTCACTAAGCATATGCTCTATCTCTAAACCATACTCTAGCCCTTATCTGTGTTTTATTAATCTATTTATGTGTTTATAGGCTTCATATAGTTGTAACTGAAACATATATGCCAGTATTTGCACTTTTCTGAAAAAACATATCCATAAGTTTCACCCCATTACTAAGTTAATAATAATAATTTTGAGTGGCTCACACTAACTTAAGAACAATAGAGAATATATTTATAGTCCTGTTATAATGTATTAACCAAACATTGAGGAATGCACATGTTACTGAAATGTATTTCTATTAAACACTTGGCAACTACCCTCCCAGAAACACTGTTCAACAGATGAACACATTAGCATACCTAATTCCTTATACCCCACAGCACTTTAACTAAAAACAGGGATTGGATACTTGATTTGTTTTTGATGAAAAATGATTATTTGATAGGTCAATAACTATTTGCTTAATTCTTTCCCATTTAAACTTTGTCAACTCAAGTTAAATTAGAAGATCATTGATAGATTCAAATTGTCTTTAGATAAATCCCCAAGGGAAAGAGTGAATATATCCCTCCTGTTGTGGACAATAAAAAAATGAAAAGAAAAATCCCTGCACACAATCTTGTTCATATTTAAAAGTGCTTAATTCACAGGGGAACATGTGAAAAATTCCTGTGATGAAGCTACAGATCCTTAATAAATCTAAATGAGAAGAAAAAATTAACCACCTAAAATAATAAGCAACTTATGGCATTCTCTGGGTTGGAAAAGAATAACTGCCTCCATGTTGTTTGAATTGTCCAAGAGTTAACCCCTGACACAAATGGAAGCAGACTGGAAGAACAGGACTACAATTATTTTAAGGCTCTTTTAAAATATGTTTCATCGATATTAAGACAATATCATCAGGGAACATTTTTTTAAATCACATAATAAAAGTAGGAAAGTAATTAATAAAGACTAACAAAGTATAATTATGATATCAATAGTCACAATTAGTGTTTCTAGTAAATGGGAATATATATTCTAATGGAGTTTTATAACTAAAGAAAAATATCTGCTACCTAGGAGAAAATTTAATATATCCATCTTTTTAGTTGAAATACTTTTAGTGACCAACAAGATAGGTAAGCAAGCTTAAGCACATTATAATCTTTCTACTTTGTATGAGCTTTTTATTTATTTGTGTGTGTCTGTATTCATGTGTGTCCATATATATGCATCTGTGTATGTACATATTTGTGTGTCCTGGGTGGCTATAGACATTTATGTGTGAAGATCAAAGGACAAATTTTAGAAGTCGGTTCTTATAATTAAACTCATTTGGTCAGGTTTGTTTTGCAAGTACTGTTGCCAACTTATCCATCTCCCTGTCCCTAATTATTTGCTTGCTAGCATTTTAATCTGATAGCCATTATAGATCCATTGCTCATCTGATGATGGAAGACCAAAAATTTGAGAGCCAAAACCTTGCCAGGTTCTACCACCTCAGATTCCTTGGGAAGCAACTTCTCCCTCTGGTCCATTTAATCCCTTAATTACACTCTGAAGCTGCCATTGGAACCTGAAGGAGTTTTCAGAATGTTTAAACTTACGGGGCTCAGATCACTGTGTAGCAGAATCACTAAGAGTTTTTCAAAATGCAGACTTTTGGTACAAGCACAAGAAATAACAGTTTCATTTGGTTATAGCGTGGCTCAGACTATTTTTTAAAGAGCTCAGGCAGCTTTTATGATCTGCCAAAGCTGGGATTACTCCACTCATTTTGATGTACTTTCAGCCTACTATAAGGCCAAATTGATTCTCAAAGCTATATTCAAGGGTATAAGTAATAATGTCATAAATTAAACAGTTACAAAACAATAATGCAATATTCTGAGTGTGCTCTTTTTACACCTGAAATCTATGTGTTTGGGAAACACATTATTATTCAAAGATGTTCTTGTTACAAATATGTGAACATTATATTAGTACTGACTTTGCATTTTAGTTAAGTGTTATATCCCAAATCACATTACTTTAGATTAACAAAAACATAAATTATCTAATCCCAGTTCTGGAGAAGCTAAAACAGGAAGGAGGACCACAATCTTAACACCAGCCTGGTCCATGTCTCAAAATGCAGAAAAAAACAAAACAAAAACCCAAAGGGGATCAGCAAAGATATGAATTAATTAGCCAGAAGTTGATTTGATGTCTTAAAAATTCAGCTACTGGATGAGAAGTTAGAACCTGCCACCGTTTATTTAAATTTTTCCTTTTAGGTCCTTTTCATGTTTGTTTTATGAGGCTGACAAAATAGCATTGGTATGGATGTTTCAAAATGTTTTTAAAGCTCCATGATTTTTTAAAAAGGTTTTGTTTGTTTTTCAAACAAAAATCAAAAACTGGAGCAATGCTATTAGGGATGTGCTTATCTAGACAACCAGAAAATACTTGACCACATATAAACTTTCATGGAGTCTGATCTCAACAGACATCCTTTTTAAGCACCTGTTGGAGTCAGCTCTGCCACTGCCTCATTAAATGGGATGGAGTTTAACTTCCAAAAGCAGATGGCATTTTGAATGTCTGGAATGCGCATTTGCTCCTTATGTTCCATTCTAGCTCACCAGCTCCTGGACCACTCTGGTGACCTTTGGATTGTGTCGATGATGAAGACATCTGTAAACAATCTTGGACTCACCAGCTTTGTTTGCAAAGGTTCATTCAAAGTAGTTGAATTCACACACTAAGCAAATAAAGAAAGACTAGCATTTTTCTACTTGTCACCCACTCTGAGTTGTCTATCAACAAGGAGCTTATTGAAAAGGTATAAACTGTAATTGCAAATTGAAGATGGCTGAAAGCTTGTCTAAGAAGCTGTTTCATGTGCTTTACAGCATAACTTTTCAACATGTGCTTGATTATATTGGAATAACTAAAAATGCCATGGAAAGTAACACAGAAGGTGCCACGACTGTATTAAAAATGATCAAAGCTGTGTCTGTACCATTTCCTCAAATATATTCTTCATGCCTGTGCACAGTACTGTATTTAATTGAGTCCTATTGGCCTGAAGGTCAAGGGTCATACATAGTGGTTTCAACACTTCAATTTTGAGACAGCTGAATGTGGTCATGACCTGGCTTAGTCAGGGAGTTGATCATCTTCATCTTTAAGCCTTCCTGCCCTTTCTAAAAACAGCAGGGCCTTTAACCAGGAGATATTTTAAGCAGTGTATACTCAGTCTTCTCATTGGGTAGGAGCATATTTTGGCCTCTTGCCTGTGTCAGATTGACACATGTGCCGTTAGACTTGGATGCTAGTCCATGCTTCTCACCACTCATATAAGAACCTTGCAAACACAAAGGCAGACCCTGTGATTGCTAGCAGAGAGCCCGTGAGTAGAAGTAAGCGGAGGAAAGACCTTTATTAGAGATGTGACTGCGCTCCTGGGATCATCCATTTTCAGGCATTTGCAACTCAGTGTTCAGATTTTTGGACCTGTTTTCCTAAAAGCTGGCTGGGATTTCACCCCAGAGACACCCCTACTTGTCTCTGGATCCTGTCACTCTTGACAAATACTTATAGAAGACATTGCCAATCCGTGAATAAGGGAACTAATGAGAAACTGCTATCTAAAACTTGAGCAGCAAAACCAAAACCAAGCAAACCCAACAAATCCAAAACAAATCCAAAAGAGAGCTACTCAAACAGTCCATACTCACAAGAAGACGCGTAGAAAACACACTGAGATGTGACTGGTTTGCTAACTGGGTTTATCAGTCACTTGACTGGCATGCACTGGATACCCTGTGTTTTTTCTCCTTAGAAAAACAATTACAAGTCTATGTTATTCTATTCAGCTGGGACCAAAAAATTATGAGTATTGCAAAACACAGCCTCTAAAAGCAAAATGGAATTGAAGAGGGTAAAGCCTGTGCCACAATCATGCCATTCCAATACACTCATACCTGGTACTCGTGTCTGCACCTCTAAGAAATTTCCATTTTTTCACATCAAAAAATCCAGATATGAAGCCGAAGCTGCCTTCTTCGCCAACCTGAAGCTGTCTGATTTCAACATCATCGACACCCTTGGAGTTGGAGGTTTCGGACGAGTAGAGCTGGTAGGTGAATTTTGTTTGAATACTTTCCAAAGCATTTCTTACTCCTCACATTTTTTTCTAGGCTGAGATCTCTTTCTCCTCCCCTCTTCTACCTCTCATTATTAATTATTGTTGCTCTAGCTCAGAAGCAGTCACTTTCATGCAAGACAGAAATTGCTTAGCACTATGGGCTAGAATATGCAGTCAGTGGACATCAAAACTGCAACTTGCTTTTTAGAAAACTCTTTGCAGTGAATAAATGCTAAACATATTAATTTAATGATAATCCTTGAGCCACTTTTTGCCCCAATTGTCTATGATTTTTTTACTTCCTTCCATGTTTCTGATCAGAGATTGCTAACTCAATTATGCCACAATTAAATTAATTTAGATGTAAACACAGAAAAAAGAAACTGAAATTTATAGTATGTATCTACATATCTATAAGTATAGTTATATTTTATATGAATACACATATGTATAACATAAATATAGTGGTAGTAATTCTATAATTCCATAATTATAAGCACTTAAGTAGATTATAGTAATAATGGTTTGGATGTTTTGTGCAATTTATGCAGTTTATTTCACATTATATATGTTTCATGTAATTTAGTTCACTAGATAATATATACCCTATATTATGACATTTTTGTTCATTTGTTAAGCATATTGCATAAAGCATGTTGTATAAATGTGGTATAAACAACATGAAAATGTAACTCTATTTTGCATTTGTTTAAAATAGGAATTTTTAAACTGACTTGTTGCAATAAAAATTAAGAAAGGAAATACTTCCTGGTACATTCCAGATATAGACTCACTTCTATCTCTCTGCTGAACATGAGGGAGTCCCTGATAGGAGATGCTAGTACAGTATGTTAGGAACTCCCCAGCACTGTGTGAAGTGCAGTCAACAGATACTGTTGCCACCGAAGGTCAGGAGGAATCCCTTCCATAAAAGTCAAGTACCCAGAGCTATTTTTATGTTTGTTTGTGTTGCTGTTATGCTCCCTGGCTTTGACACAGGGAGAGATGTCATTTGCTGGAGTATGAGAAAAGGCCTTAGCAATAAGGTGTGGTTCCCTGAATCTGTATTATACTTTCTGTAACATGGACTGAAGCTATGCAATAATTACTACTATTTCAACATGAACATTCATAATGTGCCTGTGAGGATCTGGTTGTTATAATTATGGGTACGAAATTCAAGTAAGGGTCCAGAAAACAGACAAATCTTCCTGTTTTTCTGAATTTTGCTGACAAATTAATGGAGCCTGTCCTATGTTTTTGTTTTGTTTTCTGCTGTTACAAATACCATGCCGAAAGCCAATTTAGGAGGAAAGAATCTTGTGGGATTAACAGGTCTATAGTCCATGTAAAGGACAGGGTTCCTCTGAGCAGTGATCTCAATCTGTGGATCACAACCTCTTTGGGTCACATATCAGATATCCTGCATATCAAATATATACATTAGGATTCATAGCAGTGGCAAAATTACAGGTGTGAAGTAGCAACAAAATAATTTTAAGGTAGGGGGTCACCACAGCATGAGGAACTGTATCACAGGGTCACAGCATTAGGAAGCCTGAGAACCACTCCCTTAGAACATGATTTGGATGCTGTTTGATATAATTAGTTAAAACCACTTTTAAAGACTATGGGATAGGGAGGGGAAGATGGCTCCGTGGTTAGAAGCACACACTTCCCAGCACCCACATAGACCTTCACATGCAGGTGATGTTATGATCTATCCAGGCCTCTACAGACTATGCTCTCCCTTGCACATGTGTGTGCATGCACCCACACAAACATACACACAAATAAAATTAAAAATAAAGTCTTAATGAAGACTATGAGCAATAAAATAGCTGTTTTTGTTGACAAAAAAGCAACATGATGTCTGCGGATTTCTAGAGAATAACTTCAAGTTACTTGCTTTGTGGAATATAAAGATTGTCTAAGGATATCTGGAATATTGAAGCTACTTTATAATAGCTTTGGAAACAGTTGTAAGACCACTTTAAGTAGAAAAACTCAATACTGGCTTGACAATTGAAAACTTACAGAAAATTTTCTGAAAATATAATAAACACAAAGAAATAGTCACAAAATTTAGGGAAGTTTAATCATATAAAATGGTATACAGTTTTTCAAGACAAAATATGCATATGTATGTTCATGTATATGTGTGCATGATTATGTATGGATACATTTATATGTGTAATTCCCATCTCGGGGGAGATACTATACGTATCTGCCTGATTTATCCTTTTGGACATTATAGTTTACTGTTTTTCATAGACACTGTAAAGAAAACCAAAGCCCTAGTCTAGAAAGAGAGTTTAGCAGTTAAAGGTATTGTTGCTCTTCAGGAGGATCTGAGTGTAGTTCCCAATATCTACATCAGGTGGCTCAACAATCTCCTATAACTCTATCTCCAATGATCTGTCACCCTCCTCTAGCTTTCCTGGGCACCTGTATTCACATAAAAATACACACATGTACACATAATTAAACATAAAATTATTTTTAAAAAGAATAAAAGAAAACCCCAGCCAAAAAATTCATCTAAATTAAAATGTAGCTAGTTTGCAAAATGTTGGTATAATAATCATAAATGAGTAGTAGGTCATTAGAGACAGTGAACCCACTGAGATCAGAGACTCATGTCCTTAAACTCAGAAGCCACATCATGTGTGATCTTTCACATGCCAAAATGTATAGATTAGCAAGTATATAAAGTATTAAAAATGCATAGATTTTGAACGCATGGAAACACAGTGCTGAACATATTCATAAAAATTATGTAATATTTACAACTTGAACCAACAATTTTTTATTTACCAATAGTAATTATCAGGCAAAGAATATTAAAAATAATGCCATAAATTACATGTAGTATCCTAAACATTCTCCAAGCATAAAATTATAAACTCTCCAATGAGATTTGAAGAGTTCAGAAATTTGAAATTTTGAGCTCCATGTTCTAAAAGAAGTAAACATTTTGTAATTATTACTATTTGATACACAGATACACATTTTGCATGAGGATATGACTGTTCATCCTAACTCTTCCCAACTTCCCATTTGTCAGTTTAGGTAAATTTAGGTACAAGAGTATTTCTGTCAGGAGAATTTCTAAATGACCCACTTTGTTTTGTGGAGATGAGATCATCATAAGCAATTTAAAATGTATTCAAAGTTCAGCCTCCTATCTCTGATCTGCCATTAACCATGCTTTTCAATCTGTGTTCTTTGTTTTATATATATATATATTTTTTTTTTTGGTTTTAATGAGACAGGGTTTCTCTGTTTTGGAGGCTCGAACTCACAGAGATCCGCCTGCCTCTGCCTCCCGAGTGCTGGGATTAAAGGCGTGTGCCACCAACGCCCGGCTTATTTTTAAAGCAGTCTTATTTTATAGACCAATCCCAGTTCCCTCTCCCTCCCTTCCTCTCTTTACCCCCACCTTGGAACTCATAGTTTGCTTCCAAGAGAGAATAAAATTAAACCATAAGCAAAGCAGGTGTGGCACAGGTTCGTGCATGGAAGAGGAAGACTGGTGTCCAGGCCAAACAGAGTGAATGGAGCACTATAGTAAATACGTGTGAAACCAAAGCACAAGAACACAGGCTTCCTCATTAAGTCCCACGCCTTACTAACATGCCTTTCATTTGAAACCTGCTTTATAATCTTCAAGTTCATGTCCAGCTGATAATTCTGTCCTTGTAACTGCTCTAGGAAGAGAGCATGGGGTGTGGTTCATATTTCATAGGAAAATATCAAGATGATACTTTGGAAGTGGCAGAAGTACATACTGTAAGCGATTCGTCGGGATGGGTCAGGACAGGATGGAACAGGAGTGGGTCAGGTATTCTGGCACTCGGGAGTCACAGAATACTCAGTGTTACACAGCTCAGGTGGAAAGATATCCTGGAGCTCGGGAGCCAAGGATACTGAGTGTTACACAGCTCAGGTAGAAAGGTATCCTGGAGCTCGGGAGCCAAGGACCACCACAGGTTGCAGTAAGCTTGGCAGCTTACAGCCTTGCCTCAGAGAAAGGCTTCTCCGGTGTGTCAGCTCCACTCCGGCAGGACAGGGTCTTCCAGCTGGGGATGTTCGCCTAGTGTAGCAGTTTTGCTCCGCAGGAGGTTTCTCGGGGAAGTTGCTACAGTTCAGCTCTGCTCCTGGAGAACGGAGAGCAGGGAGCCGGGAGCAGAGTGTAACAACTCCGCTCTGCTAAGGAAGGTTTCCCGGGCAAGTGTTACAGCGCTGCTCGCTCTGCTCTGCTCTGCTCTGCCCAGGGTTGCCTCTGCTTGCTCTGCTCTGCTCTGCCCAGGGTCGCCTCTGCTCTGTCGCCGCCGCAAAAGAAGATCTTCACCCGAAGCTCGTCCAAAGGGGTTTATTGGAAGACAGCTGGACCAGCCAAGCTGAACATACACAGGGTTTATATAGGGATTCCTGGGGTTGGGGAAGTTTTTCCAGAGTAGGGATTGGTCCGATTTCAGTGCTGAGCTCAGATTGGCTAGAGCTCTGCTCCGGGATTGGTTACTTTTTTACACAGGATTAGGGTCAGATTTGGCTCTGGTTTCAGGGCCAAAGTGTGTTTCTTTCTCTGGTCCTTTTTAGCCTTTTGGCTCCAATTTTAGGGCCAGGGTACATTTCTTTCACTGACTCTGATTCCAGGGACAAAATGTGTTCCTTTGGCACTGGTTTTAGGGTCAGGGTACATTTCTTTGGTTCTGGTTGCAGGGCCAAAGTGTGTTTCTTTGGCTCTGCTCAGGGTGTGTTTCTTTGACTGGTCCCTTTTCCCTACACATACAGTGAGAACTGTTGCTACTGCCCAAAATGACAGTCTTTTTTTCTAACTTAGAAGCTTTTCTATCATTCTGGCTTCAACAAATGTTTAGATTCTTTCTTGCTACTACCGGGAAACAGAAGAAGTATATGTGTTCCTGTCTTGGTTTCTTTTCCAGTTGCTGTGATAGATCACACAGTCAAAGCAATTTAGGGAAGAA